GCCAATATGGTTTCATTTCTGTTCTTCAGGAAGGCTCAAAGAAGCATAGATATTGAAGTCGATGAATCATAGCTAACTCCATCAGATTATACTATTTGCGTTAAGAATATTCCAAATTTAAATCAGGATTACAAGGAAGTGTTGAAGAATATATTTTAGAATTATGCTGCTGATGGAAGGGAATTAACTGTGACTAAGATTGTATTGGTGTATAATTTAGACGAAGTAATCGAATTGGAGGAATCATTAAAAGAAATGATAAGGGAGAAATAGGAGTATTTATTGGAGAATGGGATGAATTTTGCAGATTTCAAAGTTAAGTAGTTGGATGAGAAGCTAGAGTCTTTGGAATAGAAGATTCATTAGAAAGAACATGAACTTTTTATTAATAAAGATAAGTTTGCAGGAATAGCATTTATAAGTTTTTTGACTGAAGAAATGAAGTAGTTGGTATTGTAACATAATCCTCATACATCATGGGAGAGAATCAAGGCATTTTTTAATAATGGATTGACAGGGGATGTAAAAGAAAAGGGTTTGATTTTTGAGGGACATAAATTATATGTAGAAGAAGCACCAGAACCTAATGATGTAGATTGGGAATTCATTCATATCTAAACCGGATAGAAAGTGAAGGCACGTGTTATTGCATGGTCAATATCTATAAGTTTTATGGCTGGTTGTTTCTTTTTAATTTGGTTTTTGAGTGAGTTGGCAGAGAGAATGAATGAGTAAGTGGAAGAATAAGAGAAAAAGGGTATTAAGGACTCATTGACTTAGACAATAGCATTTTTAACAAGTTAGTCTATTTCTTGGACTGTCGTATTTTTTAATAAGTTTGTAATTGGAAAGGTGTATCATTTAATAGTTGATTTGGAGAAAATATCAAATAAGACTAAATTCAATATCAGTTTTGCTAGAAAACAGTCAGTTGCTTTGTTTATTAATACTGCTTTAATATCATTGGTGATAGATTTCTATTTGACAGGGAATGTAATTGGTAAAGGTGGTTTTATTTATAATGAATCTAATGTGTTCTTACTTAATGCATTTATTCCACCTATTGTTTGGTTTGTGGACCCTTGGAGTATCTAGAAGGATTATCAAAGGTAGAAATAATAGAAGAATGTAAAGAATTGTGTGTTGACTCAACAAGAGGCAAATGACAATTATGGAAATGCCTGATTATTCTTAGGCCAAAAGATATGGTGACATAATGAAGACAATGTGGTTCACATTTTTTTATGGAGATATAATACCTTTAGGCATATTGTTCAGTATTATGGGTTTAACATTGTACTATTTTGTTGATAAGTATAATGTACTAAGGAGGAGAACAATCAAGGAATCATTATCAAAGCATTTGAGTATAGAAATGATAGAGATGTTGGAGTTGATCATAATATTTACAGGGATTGGCAATACTGTAGTATCGAGTATATTGTTTGGGGAAGTCAAATGGTAAGACTTTATTATAATCATAATTGGAATTGTGTACATTTTACTGCCAATGGAGGACATTTCTAGTGTGTTATTTCCACTCGAATAGAAGGATGAAGTCTAAACTTATTATGAAGCTGAGGAACACTTTAATACTGATTATGATAGAGAGAATCCAGTAACGAGAAGAGAGATATTACATGAGATTGCAAAGAAAAAATGAATTTTATTTTATTTATTAATGATTGTAATTAAGACAGAAGAACTTAATTATCTAATTTATACCTACTTTTTAGAATAAGGATATTCGCACAGTGCATTTGCTTTGATCAACCGAAGTGAAATTAGATTAGCAACTTTATCGAGATGATGTTAAACCAGGCCCAACTGATCCAATTTATTAGAGAAGGCTTTGTTATTTTAGCAATTGCAAGACCATATTCAGATCAATTAATATTATGAATGCAAAGTGCCCCAATTACTAATACAAAAGCATGTTTGTTAATTTACAGAGAAAAAGCAATTGGCTGAGAAGTAGGAAAGAAGAGATCGTGAAATAATGATTCAGAATGCATTGATGAGGAGTCAGGAATTTGTGTCTCGCAATGGACAAACAATGGATTTGAATGTTGAATTATAATAGGACATAATACAATTACAGGACGAGATCTTGTTGAGTGATTGGAATGCACAAAAAAACATTTTGGCAATATATCAACTCAATTGCATTAAATTGATCCAAAACAATTAAATACTACAAATAATGCCAACAGTTGTAGGTGAGTGCTTTTCTAGAGTCAAATTAATGAAGTTTGATAGATCGAGCGGCAACAATATGTTAATAGTATATGAAAATGGCGCTGCAAAAGTGATAGACACTACAATTCAAATCATTAAAATGTTCAACATCAAAAATGCAAGCAAATTATTGGACTTCCATTGGAACCTCAATTGGCCTAATGTGGTTGCTCTCATTTTTGAGAAGGATGTCGAAGTATGTATATAAATAGATATGCTTAGATAGTGGACATATATAAATGCCAAACTTTGAAGTACTTAGAAAATGTGATTCATTTTGAGTGGAGACATTTTGATCACTTCATCGTGATGGATCTTAATTATTACATAAATTTAATGCAGATTGATATTGACAAACCACAATTATAATTAAAAGCCGAATTAGAAACCACCTTGATCGAATTCAACAAAAGGAAGACCTTATTAGCTTCCTTCTCAAGCACCTTAAATGTCATAAAGATATGGACATTGTAAAATGATGAGTATGTGTTCGAAATTACAGACGATCAGAAAATTTTGTAATTTTGTTGGTGCTCTTCACAAAATGCCAATTATTTAATCACACTAACATCTTAGACTCTCAATATATGGGATGTTGAATTCGGATAGATCAAATCTACTTATGAAATCGACTTCAATGTTGCTAAGATGGTTTCTATGGATCTCTTGAATGATACTCCCTAAGTGGTGTTGATTGGTGAAAAGGTTGTGCTGTACGATTTGATAAACAAGAAGAGAAGAGTGTTCAATTGCGATACTCCTAATAAAGTGCTGCGCATCAATGATGAAGAGATACTGTTCATATTTAGGAGTAGTTACATTGTTTACAAAAAAAATTGATATATTACATAAATATATATAATTTATTATGTTCCAAAGTCAATTGGAGTATGCTGGGAAGACATCACAAATATAATAGAATGTGGTGGGGGAAGTATGTAATTTTTGAAAACCAATTCAATTCAAGAGTGGTGTATTCAAGGAAATTATACTAATACCTCTTAATCCAAATGATCGTTATATGTACACTATTTGAATTAAATTGCTAGCATTATTCATATATTGGGTATATGCTTCGCCTTCTCTGGATTCCTACTTAGAGGGTAAGCCATGGCTATTTTGGCTCTGTCTCTTCATTTCAATATGGCACTGCTACATTGGCATTGATATTCAGAAAGGATGTTGCAGTATTCCCCTGGAATTGGGTTGTGTTCGTCACCTTCACTCTCTCAGTTTCAGTCGTTTGCGGTACATTGGTGGCTTTGGGAGACTCAGTTATCGGTCTTTTAGTTTTCAGCAGTCTTGCAAGTATTCAATTCTGAATTACTATATAGGCATGGTGTTTTTCTTGTTTATGTATTCATTGACAGTCAAAAGAAGACTCACCTATTAGGGATCAATACTATTTATATCAGCTAGTATCCTCCTCATTTTTGAAATCTTCACAATCTTCACTGAGGTTTCCCTCTTTTGGTTAAGTAGTGTTTCACTCTTTGCTTTCCTATTGGCATTTCTATTGATTTATGACACCTACACTAATGTTAAGTATAAATATCATTTGAATTTTCTAGTTCAGGAGATCAATACGATGTCAATTAAGCAGATGAAGTGTCAGGAAGTGTAATTATCTATTGGGATGTGATCTTGCTTTTCTTGAAAATGAATGAACTTATTAAAGATTACTTAGTGAGGGAACGCAATTGAATAATATTATTAATGAAGATTATTTTATTATTGCTACCGTATCTTGCATTAAGCACAATCCATCCTGAGGGTAACTTGAACTTTGTTAAGTATTGCAAATACTTCAATTACCCTGTAGAAGAACATGTTATCTAAACAGAGGATGGCTATCTTCTTACCTATTTCAGAGTCTAAGCAAAAGGAACAAAAATGGTATCTGGCAAAAAAGTCGTTCTTCTCCAACACGGACTCTTGGATAGTAGTGATACATTCATTATTAATGATGAAGACAAAGCACCTGCCTTTTTGATCGCCAATAAAGGTTATGATGTTTGGCTTGGTTTTTTTAGGTTTATCGTTTATCTTAGGAAACAACAGAGGAAACAAACACGGCAGAGCTCACGTTAAAAAGAATCCCTTCTTTTGGTCATTCTGGGATTTCACTTAGAAAGATTTCGCTATCTATGATCTTCCTGCAGGATTTAAATACATAGTCAATAAGACTGGTCAAAAAATTCAATACATTGGACATTCCTAAGGAACCGCTTAAATGCACATTCATTTATCTCTCTTCAAATAAAGTATTGTCAGAGACAATCTAATATAATTTATTGGAATGGGACCGGTAGCTTGGGTGACTACCAAGTATTCTCCTTTGGTTCGTCTACTGGACACCAATTTCTTAGAAGTCTTGGCAACATTTGGATTACATGAATTTATGCCTGGAGATTCCTTCCTCACATCTGAAATAGGTAGAGTAGTTTGTGGACTAATGGAGAACCTTTGTGGAGATTTAATTGGATCATTTGTTTCAGCAGATCCAGTATTAGATAACTACGATCGTTATGATGTTCTAGCTGGACATTCTCCTGCTGGTACTAGTGTAAAGAATCTTAAGCATTGGTAATAATTTACTAGAACTGGGGAATTCAAGAGGTACGATTATGGAGACAAGGAGAACTTGAAGAAATACGGTTCCAAGAAAGCTCCCTTGTATGATTTATCAAATATTGATGTCAAGTAATTCTTCAGTTTTATAAGTTAGAATATTCTACATTGCAGGATATGATGATTTGTTGGCTGCTCCTAAAGATGTGAATCATTTGTTCTCAGCATTAGTAAATGCTCCAAATAAGGAACTTAAGTTCTATGATGCTGGACATTGTTCTTTCATGTGGGGAAGACAATTGCCATATCTTGAAGATTTGTGGGCTCATCTGGAATGATATATATTTATATATAATCATAAAATACAGAATTGATATTTACATTTTTGTTGAAGAAAATAAAAAAATGTGATAATTGTTCATTTTAAGGTTTTAGAGAAATTTTCATATGCTTACTTGCTTCTCATGCCTTCTTTAATTTAATTGGTTGCTCTAGTTAGTTCTAGTACTTTTCGTAATTGGATTACCAAAATTAATTTGATAATGGCTATCACAAAAAATAAGACTATTGCAACAACTTAAACAAGGACTTCAAATTTGGAATCGTGTTCAAATTCTTCAGTGGTAGTCTAAAATATTGATATGGCTAAGATAAAAGTCTCATTCACGATTATTCTAAAATAATTTTCATTATAATACTTACACAGAAGTAGTTATTACTAATTTTTATGTCTGCATGTGGAATACTTGTAACAAACTAAGTCCTTCTAAAATAATTGTCAGGCCTAAAATGAGGATAATATCAAACATGCAAAAATCAACACTGCAATGGCATCCCAATCTTAATGACTCCTTAATATATATCCCTATATTATGCTAAATGCTAAGAGAGTGATTGAATTGAGTATTATGCTACCCATGATATAAGTATAATGCTTATTCCTTGTGTTAATTAACGTAATAGAGTCTTAGGAAATAGAGAAGTCTAAAAGACGATCTGTCATTTATATTTTGTAAATTGTTATTAATAAAATTGTATAATAAATTGAATTTAAAAATAGTATGTATTCTATATTAAACAATTAATAAGAAATTGACAGAAAATAGTGTCTCAAGATTATAGGAAGATAGACTTGGATTATCATTTAATAAATAACAATTTCAAGACATAAAATTACTACCAGAGTATCTCATCATTTAGCGCTATTGGCTAGAAGAAACTAATTTGCTAATTAGACATTACTTAATTTATTTTGCAAACCAGACGCCATGAGGGAAATGGATTCAACTCGGCCTCGGTCATTCTTCGTTGTGGAATTCTTGACAACAAATCTAGTCACTGATTGAGATGATGACTTGTAAATATTTCGAGTTGGTGTAATGCTCTGGAACTCTTGCTACTTTTTTAACTTTCCCATCTGAATCAGCCATTAACGATACATCCAATCATCAGTCTATACCGATTTGTCAACCATAAGGGGAGGCTCTACTTATTTAACTTGATCTGTCTGTCTCACTCTCTGAGGAGCTTGGATTCTATACAAAGGATTCTTTGGCTTTTGGCTACTCATAGGGGGCCTTTGTTCTGAATTCTTAGAAGGGGACTCCTACAAGATTGACGCTTTTTGTGAAGCTATTGTTGATTTTAAATTACTATTGGGCTATTAAAATTTCTTTTTATTATTTGTTTCCTATTATTTTGATCGATTTTTCTATTTGATTGAATAGGTCTTTGGCTGGAACAATTAAACCAACTCATCATCTGATAATTCTGCCTCAGATTGACTCGAATCTGATCCTATGTCTTAGTCATCAGTCTGAGGCATCTTGCCCAATTCTTCCAACATCTACTACTGAATATCTGGCTAATTCGCTTAATTCGTGAACTCCTTGGTAGTATCCTTAACTATTTGGGACAAGGCATTGCATATACTCACACCACAATTCAAATAATCCTTTATTTAATAATGCCTCTTCTATTGACCATAGAAACTGCACTCATAAGTATAAACCCAGTTGATTTTGAGTTCTCTCCACAACTAGATCCTGGCAGTTTTATCCTTTGCACTCTCGACCCTGAATGTGCAAGAGGAATAATCCATGAAAGGATTTACTTTTGACATCAAAAGTGCAAACACTCTTTCAATAGTCTTGACTTAAGATGAGTAAGCACAACCATATACAAATGATGATTGTCTAAAATATAAACCCCTCATTACTTTCTTGAATGACCATGCAAATCAACCACCAGCAAGATCTGTCTTTCCTTACTAAACCCTTTTACATATTTTTTCGCATAATAAACACTCGGATGTAAATATTTGTTGGGCTTCTTCCATCTTCTATTTAAGTCACCCCCCTCAAGACCACATCTATAATTTCCATTGACCACTCCATCCGAATTCATCATCGGGAATATTTTGAAAATGCAATTCTGCCTCAAATACTCTGCTTAAGGATTATTGGAGGTTAGAAAATCTATTATTCCTTGCATAACATAAGATCCCTGTGGTTCTCCAGGATGTTATCTTGCTAGAAACACTACTCCTTTTCGAAAAGCCCTCCTTTACAACGAATTCGAAGTGATAGTAAGGACTTCACAAGTGTTTCCACCGAGTGTTGTACACAATACTTTTCGAGATAAGTATCTGAAAATTTAAAATTTTATATTACTAATTTCTTTCTTGATCTTCCAATTGAGTGTTCAGGAATTCCAACAGGTTTGTATAAGTGTAAGGATACGAATGAGCAAAGTAAACTTTGTCTCCTTCATGCTTAAATGTATAATGAAATCTTAATTGATAGTATTTCTTCTTCAAAGAGAGTGGATATTCCTTAATGAACACGCTTTTGAAATAACTGATGTTGAATCCCTCTCTACACCATTCAGTGCCTACTAACTAGTTTTCTTTTACAGAATAGACAGCTGGTTGTAAGCCTTCATTAAAGAGACTCCCAGTTTTGAGCTATTAATTAATTACTGATCAAAATACATGATTGAGGATATTGAACTAAATTGTTTAACCTGCTTTGGCTCCAGTTACACTAAAAAAGAACCATTATGTGTTGCCTCTTGTATTAATATCATTTTGAATTATGAGATCATAAACATTTTCTGCTTTCTTGAATGCACAAAATAGATTGCCTGATTCAAAATTGGAATCAAATTATATTGAATTAGAAGGACAGGGTGTTAATTTTTAATCAAAAAGTGCTTCTCCTCTGAAGAAGACTCTTGGTTGTGCTCTTCATTTAGAATCGTCCATACCTCTTAAAATTGGCTAAGAGACTTGCAAAATATGTTCGGTCATTTGAAGTCCTTTTGCCTAAATCTAACTGGTCGAATCGTTTGTATACTAAATTTTGCTTATTCTCATCGTAATAATCAAGTAGTGTTCTATTCTCATCAGTCACCTAAACGTCAGGAATTGAGCATTCTCGTTATGAGGACTCCTCAATGAAGGTCGTGTAGGTCTTACAAAATTGGGGGAGTGGCCTTAAAAGATGAACAATTAATTACTTGAGAGGATATAATGATTTCACATCAATGTCAATGGTTAATTTACGAGGCAACAATTCATTTGGGGGTGCCAATTTTGTGAGTGTTTCATACACTTATAGATCATCTTCACTCGAACTGTCATTGTTATAATTATTTTTGGAATTCATTAATTTATATTATTTATTGTTAATAACTTGAAATTAGTGAAATCTATCTCATAACTATTCGATTATTATTAATTAATGAATAACAATTAATTCTAAACCAGATAATGGGAATAACAATACGCCAAACACAAAAGGTCTGTAGAGCAAATTGAACACAGAAATTACAAATTCCCCGATCAGGTTGAAGAAATTATATAAAGATGTAAAAATATAACTTCCTAATCAAGAAAAGGACGCAAACAAAAAGGTTTAAAATAGTCAGAATTTCAAACAAAAAGAAGTGCTCTCCAGAATCACAGCCTCCAACCTCATACTCTCTAAGAAGCTTCAAGAAATAGAAAAGAGAAGGCAAGTCAAATTCATGTAATATCAACTATTCAATTTAAGTGATGCTCCAGTACGCTTGTCTACTAAATCTCTTAGAGAAGAAAACTATAATAAAATCAAAGTTGAAAATCATAAGCAATTTGAAAGAATTACCCAAGTTAAAGGCACACTACAAACTTAATGAATTTTATATCAATAATTTTATTAATATAATTAATGCATCTGTTCTTATGTGCAAAAAAGATTGACATAATATTTTGAGTAGTATCATTAACTCTTCCATTTTAAATTAGAAAAAGATATAACTGTCTTATGGGTATTTTGTAATTGAGATTTCCCTTGTAGAATTTTCTAAGAATCTAATTATCGACATGAATTAATTATTGAAACCTTGCTGTAATTACTTTTCGGGTGTTAGTCTAAATCTCTTGTGGATATACGATTACTTACTAGAGTACTGACATCTTTAGTTCTTCTCATTTCATTGATTTATTTCACCTAAAAGGATCTTTAACTCTTAGGTGAAATCATTATTGTCTTTTAAACAATATTTCTTGACTCTTTATTTTAAAAGGATTTAGTTTCCCACATTCACTACATTCACAGCTCTTTCTCTTTGTTTTGATACTACTTTCTTGACAGATGCAATTATTTTTTGAGAATCCTTGCTGCCATTTAATGGGTAATGAAATTGACTTATTGTTTTACCTAATTCGTCTTCCATTTTCACTTTCATTTTAACTCAATTTGTTAGGAAAATCAGTTTGAATTTCATCCCCAAAACTTAACCTTCTTTTGATTCTCTTCTATTTACTAAATTATATTTCCTTTTATGTAGGTAAATTTGAATTTTGCTATTGAAATAAGCTTAGATTTCCACATAATTTACAATAGCAAGACTTTCTTCTAATTGGATTTTCAAATTGGATTGGTTTTTTCTGATTGTGAAATGAGTTGTTATGATCAATATTACACTTAACTGACAACTTAGATGCCATTTAAATTTATGATATCAAGATTTAATTATTATTGGACACATTTATAATCATCTATATAAGAAATGTAATAAGATATAAAATGTCTTTAGATGTGAAATTTAGACTTTTAATTTCTTAATGTTTATAAATTTTTAATAAATATCTGATTATAATTTTGAATGATCGAAATTAAAATTAAGATTAAGTTTTATTTAAGTAGAAAGGTCTCAAAATTAACTATGTTTAATATAAATGAGAAATTATTTAATCAAAATTCTGACTGTAAGAGAGATTGAGAAATTTACAGGAAAAAGAGAAAGAAAATAACTATGAGTGGAAGAAATCAAGAGTAAATATAATTATTAAAATTAATTAATCCAACCCTTATATTGATAAGAATTTCACTCACTTGATTTATTATTTTTCATGAATAAAGTTTAAAATAGTATATATATTCTTAATATTTATTATGGTACAGTGCTCAATCTATCTACCATCTTTATATAAAAGGATGGGACTAAATAGAGTCTTAAAAATAATTATGAATAACTAATTATTATGATACACAAATTAATTACTATTTTTGAATTAATAACCTTAATTGAATTTCATTCATAAATTGTAGTAAAAAATTGGCATAAAGATATTTTAATCATAACCCTTGTTTAAAATATTATTATTATAAATAGGCTAAATAATTAGAAATATATAGATAATAGTGCAATGCCAGATCAGATTAAGGATTGGAAAATTGACATAATTCGATCACTTACGGCTTTGGCATTTAAACCCATATCATAAGATAGTTCTTTTATAATTGGACTGTTTTCCTGTAGTTACATCCTTAGATAATGTAAAATTGATGAGATACTTATTGACTGTTGGTCTTTCTGAATTTTACAACACCAAATATAGAGCATCACAAAGTCTTTCTAATTTTTGAGCTCCTTATCCCTAAAATTCTTCTGGCAGAAATGCATTCCAAGCATTTGATATATTAAGCAGTTCCTTTAGTTGTACATTGGGTCCTATTAGAATAAAATGAGATGCCTACCTTTAGGATCTCGACCACTTACTAGCCATGGATGTTGCAACAATTATTCAGTGTATACCCTTTATCTTGGATCTATTTTAAGTGTTGAACATAAAAATTGAATAAATTCAGGACTAAATTTATCAGATGGGAGTAATTCTAGCATAGTTATTTTGGTAGGTTCAGATACTGTCTTTTGATTCTATTCAACTAATGAAATGACTTTGGCTTCACTATGGAGGAGACAACATGTATCTTTGAGATGATCGGTGTATTTTTGCAATTTCCTCAATGATGATTCTTGAGCCCTCATAGATCTACTAGGCTTTTGGATGGAACTCAAGAGTTCCAATAGCGCAGTTTAAAACCAGCCAACCTAGTTTCCAAATGTCATTGGCTCTCTCCAAAATGAAATCTTCTTGAGCAGGGAAATGAACCTTTTCACTTGAGGCCTTGCTCCATAAAGATGGGGTTTCTAGAATCGTTGGATCATACAGACTAATTGGTTGAATAAAATACCTTTGAACATCTTTCGGTTTACCAAGAATGTAGGAATTAAACAATTAATTTCCTTGGACTTAAACTCTGTATTACAAACCTTGACCCAATTTAACAGTGCCATCTCTAAGGAAGAGTATTTGTGATGGGCCAAGAGCACCATGACATTGGGCTCCTTGTTGATGAATTTTTTGTAATCCTTAGAGGATAGGTGGTACTAGCTATTTGATACTTCTCTCTGGGAGGAAACCCATACTCTCAAGGAGATTCTAAAAATGAGAATTAATATTCACTTATAATGAACCACCATTCATGTATTCCATGACGATAGACACGTAACCTTCGGGTGTATTCCAAAAGGTAGCATATACTTGGACATGTAAATTTGAATTGGCGAATTTGTTCTACCAAAAGGAGATCCAGTCTTTTAAGTTTTTACGAATTTCCTTGTTGTGCAATGGTTCCTAAATGTCAAAGTGAAGAATTACTTCTTTTACAACATAGAGTTTCATTGTTGGAGCATGTAACATTTTCTTGACAGGACTCTGATCGCCATAGGCTAATAAGATTTAAGTTATATTAACATCGCAATGTGCCAGTTGTTATCATGTCTTCTATGCGCATCTAACCTTGGACGAGTGTACTGATGCTTAGGCCTAATTCCTCATGAATTTTCTTTTGGTCTTTCATGAACTAACGAAAAGGTGCTAATGGATTCTTGGATTGCTAGTTGTGTTCGCGCTAGGGTTTGATTTATAATTAATGCCTTCAAGGGACTTAACATTTGGCTCACCTACTTGTACTCTTGTATTGCTTCTATGTTCTGCAGATTCTGTTGTACTTGTTGTTTCTACTCTTTCTTCTACGCCAGTGGTTCTATTTATTTCTTCTGTGGTCTAAATTACACCATAGTAAATACTTTTTATTTGCAAATGCTGGAGGCAAACGACTAATATTGATTTTTGGCTATCCCCTCTTTTAAGTTGTCTATAAGGATTGTTCATCGATCACTTCTGCCTTCTTAGGCTCCTCATTCTTAATACTGTTGAATGAGTGAGAACTCATTATTTTAGGTCCTTTCGAATCGTTCATTATATAATTATTTCAATAATTTAAAAATAACTCATCTTCCAATTAGTTACTACATCTATTCACTATTTACTTTCTAAGCAATTTCTTTTGCTTTAATTCTTACTCATTCTACTTCCTTTCAAATCTTAGTTTCAGCAAGACCATGACCTTTTTGTAATAATATTAAATCCAATACTTACAATTTCATTTATGTGACAAGGATATATAACTCATCACAACCTACAGTTAAACTCTATTGATATTTTTCTAAATTTTGTATTCAAATTATAATTTATAATTTCAAATAGACTCAGGTCATTATAGGAAGAGATAAAAGCTAATTTTACTCTCCAACATATTATTCACAATTTAATCTAAACCTCATACTTGCTATATTATTATTTTGAAAAGAGAATGGTTCTATCCTTAGTAAGACATTTAAAACTATATACCTTAGTCATTTCATTATTAAATTATTAAGGCCTATGATCTCTCATTAAATCTCTTTTTTGCTGTTACTTTAATGCTTTATATATCTTAAGACTGTTTTCATATAAACGAAAAACCTGTCAAAATAATATCTTATTACTCACTAGTGCTAATTTCTTTATCTTCTTATTACTTTAGAATATCAAAGCTCTATTCACTTATCTATCTAAAA